TGGTGTTGCCACAGCCCTCCCCATCCGGAGAGAGAGGCATCTGTTGTCACTACTTCTCTGCGTGCTGGGGGTGGTCCCATTGGTACACCCCCTTGTAGAAATTGTTCCCGTCTTCAAAGCCTCAGGGAGACAGAGCAACTGGTTGTTACCACAACAAGGGTCTGTCGGTTGTGAACTGCTGACAACCGTCTGGCTATCAACCAACGCTGAAAAGGACGAAGGTGTAAAAGTCCTAAGTGAATGGCCGATGAGGCTGCCGTGAGAAGGCCCGCTAGCCGTAAGAAGTGAAGATAAGGTAGCTTGCGTCGAACCTGGAACCTCGCTATGGCTCCTTGTATAGCCTGCCTCCTGCGCGCTGTGAGGGTAGCCCTCATTATTCTGGAGTCCAGATGTAATCCCAGAAAACATATTGACTGGCATGGAGTAAGGCAGCTTTTCTCCAGGTTTACCCTCAGTCCTAAAGCAGTAACATGCTCCAGTAGGCGCTGTGTGTTGTTGGCTACCTGCTGAGGTGATCTGGCACAAAGCAGCCAATCGTCCAGGTAAGGGAGAATCAACATGCCCTCCCGTTGTAGAGGTTCTAGTGCCGCTTGCATACACCGTGTGAATACACGGGGAGAGAGGGAGAGGCCAAATGGTAGGACTCGATATTGGTATGTCCTGCCCTGGAATGTGAACCGAAGAAACCTTCTGTGATGAGGTGCAATGGGGATGTGGAAATATGCATCCTTCAGATCCACAGAGGTAAACCACATGCCGGGTTCGACCGCTTGTAGGACATCCTTGACACGCAGCATGTGGAAAGGAAGGTGTTTGAGACTCCTGTTCAAGCGTCTGAGGTCCAAGATTGGCCTGAAGCTTCCATCCTTCTTGCGAACTAGGAAGTACTTTGAATGAAATCCCCCCGGATGGACCTGGGGGTTTACTAGCTCTACCGAACCTTTTTCCAGTAGCTTCCGGACCTCGAGAGACAGAGCAAGAGCCTGACGAGGGTCCCGAACCACTGTGGGCCGAGTGTGTGTGCATAATTGGGGTCTGTGACGGAACTGAAGACAGTAGCCCCTGTCGAGTGTGTTGAGGAGCCACTTGTTGTTCGTAATCCCTCTCCAAAGTTGTAGTTGAGAGGTTGAAAAGTGTCCCATCACAGACCCTGGACCATCACCGACGATGAGGAGCGGTCTCCCTACCCCTGGGGGGGCGACGATAAGTAGCCACAGGGCGAGCAGGTGGTCTACGAGCACGGGATGCCTCCCTTCTCGAGTCATACCCAGGTCGAGTTGCCTGCTGTACAGACCTGTAAGACGGTCCCTGCCTGCACTGGAATGGATTTGCATGACGAACAGGTATTTGATGTGAGGATGGTCCATAATTCACACTGCGCTCAAAGTGCTGGGACCGAGACTCCACTGAACGAACTCTGCGCTCAAGAGCTTCTTGAGCGGCTGGACCAAAAATCTGCCCAGGTACCAGTGGTAGTTGACGAAGATTGCTACGGCAAGCCTCTGGAAGTTTAAACTGTGCTAGCCAAACCTGCCGCCTAGCCTGAGTAGTAAGCCCAAGAGCCTTTCCGCTAGAGAATGCGATTGAACCCAAGGCTTGTAAGGAAGCCTCAAGTAACTCAGATGTGGTATTATCTGGTGGGTTAGTACTCAAAGCAGAATGAAGTGCTAGCAGAAGATGAGCCATGGAATTCCCCACACGACTCAAGCCTGAGACAGTATTATAAATCCTGACCAACAGATCATCTGTGCGTCTACACTCTGGGTTGGGACAGCGAAGATTGTGTCTAAGAGCCTCATCTGGTGACACTACCAGTGAAGAAATGCATGGCTCCACTGGGGGCATGTTACCAAGGCCCTTTTCGTCTGCATCAGCCATTGCCGCTAGCGTACGAGCCACACGATCAGGTCTGGATAAGGGAGCTGACTGAAACGCCGAAGAAACCACATCTGTGAAGTCAGGACAACTCGGCATTAGGAAATCCTCCTGCTGGGAAACTGGGCGACGCAAGAGGTTTGACTGGCCTGATAGGGGAGGAGGTGGATCCAAATTCCGCTTAGCGAGCGCCATCCTGAGTGTGTCCTGCAGAGAGAAAACCACTGAAGGCGGCGCATCCTGAAGGCCAAAACCGTCGTCGCTATGGGAACATTGGAACTGGGAATGTGAGGGTCTCGTCTCCTCCATTGGCGTATAATACTCCTGTTCCTCCCGGTCTAAGGAGTCAGAAGCCACAATAGATAAAGTGTCTGGTTCTCTCCTGGACAACCTGGATGCCAGCTCACACCTGGGCAAGGGAGGAGCTAAAACAACCCCCCCCCCCCCCCCCCCCCTGTCCCCACACTCACATTCTGACGAGTAGGGGGGAACAGATAATAAGTCTCTAATACCCTGAACTGCGTTCGCAAGTTCAGCTACTTGCTGGGTCAATGTACTTGACTCCATGTGACTCTGTCCCAGCTGATGGAGCAGAATTCTCAAACTCAGGGTCTAATTCAGCCAGTCGATGCTGTCTCATCTCCAAGGACATCAAACCACATTCAGGACATGGGTCTACTAAAGCCTCTCTGAGGTGATCAATGCCTAGGCAAGTAGGACATTGAATATGAGCATCCATGAGATCCATTGGACCGAAGCAGAGGGAACATGAAGCTGCCATCACTTCCAGCCCAGTTAGTTGAAAAAAACCCTGGTCAACCAATGGGGTTATCCACAATAAGGTTTATCAATGTATCACTCTGGTTAACCAATGACCATAACATAAAGTAGCAGTTTCTGACAATATACAATACCACACGCAGTATAACAGAACCCTGGTTAACCACTGAGTTCACATGAGTACTCACCTCAACACTGCTAGTAGCGATCGGTTCCAAACAAACCCTGGACAACCAGTGGGTATATGGTCCGATGCACGTTCAATTATAATCCAAATATATCCAAATATATCCAAATATTTCTCCCGAGACACAGCTGTAGCGGGGAGCAGTTGCTCACCAAAAACGCTGTGCACGCTCGAGCGAGATCTCTTCGCGAGAATGACAAAGAGAACGACCGCGACGTGAACGGAGCGGATATAGCTGCTGACACGTCATCGGTCAGGGTCACAGGTGACAAATCAATGCGAGATTCTCGATATGGCTCGGGAGACGCGACTCCTATGTTCGACCGTCTCTGGCGGTCTGTAACAGTGAAATAGAACTATCCAGTTGAGCCAGAAAACATTTTCACCAATTATAACAGGTCAGAGTTTTGAGGGTTTATTTATTTATTTTGTTGGTAACATTTTCTAAAGAGTATGATATTTAAAATATTTTATGATGTTATATAATTTCTGCAACAGAAAAAAATTTGTGGACAAGTATGTGGATTATATCCTGAATAAATCAGTAGAGGAAGTGTTTGAAGAATTCAAGAATTCTTCAGTGCGTGTGACCGATGCTTGGTGGAGATGTTTGAGCCAGAGGAGCTGAGAGCAGGAGCTTCTGGTGGGCAATGAGGAATGACCACAAAGGTCCACGTTAACACATATGTCAAACAGAAATGCCATAACTATTATGCTCTTGACACTGTGAACAAGTAAATACTGACATATACGTATTCTGATCATTAGAACACCACATATGAAGAATCATTTTATGCTGAGCATCCAAACATCATCTCATTCTGGGATGTGTTTGATGAACTGAATGAGAAGAAGGGCTATATTTAAGTTCACTAGTAATTATCCTGAATGGTGCTGTGATTGTCTAGTAATTAGTGAAAATGACATTTGTCAAAATGAGATCTAATTTAATAAAAATAAATTGTTTCTAGCTGCTCTTACGATTTTCAGGTTGTGACTTTGTATGTCAAAACACATCTGTAGAGTGCTTAAATCTTCCCCCCTCTCTTAAGTGTTATTTACAGGGTTTGAGAAAGTGCCCATTCTGGGTATGATGAGTATGAAGATGAGAGTGAAAACCTGTTGTATCTTCCTGTTTATCAGAACAAGGAAACACTCAGGGCTAAAGTCATTGTCTGAAGCCATCAACCGCTAAGAGAGGGGGGGTTCTGGGAAGAAGACTGGAGTTCTGGGCTCACTTGTTGTAAAAACTCTACTTCAGCAATCATTTGGGAAGAAAGTTGACATTTAGCTATAAAAGAACATATCAAGTTTAGGCCTAATTTAACAAAGAGTAACAAGTCATTCAATTTAAATATTTATTGTAAAAAGAACATCTACTGGGGCTAAATAAAAAGGTAGGCCTAGTTGATGAATAGCCTACTGGCCTACTGCGTGCATGGCGTCTCGCGTTGAGTATTTTTTTACTGGTCGCCACCATAGACAAAAGGTCGCCACATGCTCGAGCAATTTCCATTTTCATAGTGGAAGAGAAGTGTACAACCATTTACACTTATACCTATGTAATGGTCTCGTCGAATGCAGTCGTGTTTTTGACGAAATTATGTATTCGAGAACATTATTTCGCACAACCTTTTCATAATGACATCAACTATGCTTAGCTTAAAAATGAAGGCATTCAGATTCAGCACGCCACTCTTTTTAATCAGAGCTATTTAGCTGTATTAATATTTAGCTGCACAAAAATAACTAGGAATAAATTAAATATATCCTAGTGGGTCAGGGGATCTCTGGATAATCCGAGATCCCCTGACCCTAGTGTAAAGTGTGGAGGATTTTCACCTCTGATTTTGCTTTCGTTTTCCGATCATCATCAAATAGGCTAATTCGTCTATGATAAACGCGGAAGAATAACAACAAACATCACTTTCTGCGACTGCCAATTAAATTATATAGGCTAATTTATATGTTTATCTCTGTAAAGCTGCTTTGAGACCATCTACATTGTTAAAAGTAAATGAGGATGACTTGACTTGACACTTTCGTTTCGTGGGAACTCGCTATAGTCGAGAACTTGCTTAACAGTTCAGTTTCACTCTCGTTTTCGATTTAGCCTATTCAACGAGAGCGTGTTCCTCTGTCCACGGATGCAGACGCTGCTGGAGTCTGAAGGTTTCATCCATCAGCTGTGAACATGTTCTGCTACTGGGGAGCGCAGGTCAGAGAGGGCTTCGGTCTGATACAGCCTGACAAAGTCAAACATGGCGATTGTGGAATACGATCCGTGTGTCCGAAATCAGCAGTTCAGGACATGTCAGCTGGAAGGAGTTTTGTTGGATTTATCCGGGATGGGCAAGTCTCGGTCCTGAGATTACGCGGTGAAGACTGTGATCAGGATGGAAAACTAAGTATATACTAAATTATTAAACCTTTTTCATTCATAAAGTTGACATCATTAATATAATAGTCTACTTTACAGAAGTCTTGAATCTTTTATTTTCATATATATATATTTGATAGCCTACATGAGTAACTTATACTGTATAATATTTGTGACATAATGTAATTAATTATAATTATTTAAGTGTCTGTTTGTATGCTATACTGTCTGAACAGAAGTTGAACTGATAAAAAATATTTCATTTACTCCAGAGCAATTACAGCTGAAGAATGACAGAATCAGATCGATTGTCTGTGGAGGAGACGGTGCGGTTCTTCTTGCTTATGGAGGAAAAGTTCTCATTATGGACAAATCTACTGTGTGCAGGTATGTTTATGTAAGCATAACAGTATGACCATGAAAGATATTAACAAATATATATCTGACAGATTGTCTTTTCTCTGCAGTCCTCTTAAAGGTCTGGAAAACAAGCAGGTGATTCAGATCGCGTGTGGAGACCAGCATTCAATGGCACTAACCAGGGGTATTCACAACCATTTCATCTAACAGCTGTCTTAATCTTTTGACTTCTTATTATTGACATGAATTGATAGGCATTTGAGTGTAGATATGCAGAGCTGTTGTTGGTCTTTCAGATGGTCAGCTGTTTGTATGGGGTGATAACTCTCACGGTCAGCTGGGTTTGGAGAAAGAACAGCCCAGGTCTCTGTCAGCTCCTCAACGTGTGGAGAGTCTAGATGGGATCCCACTGGCTCAGATCAGCGCTGGAGGAGACCACAGCTTTGCGTTGTCTCTCTCTGGAGTCGTGTTCGGATGGGGAAAGAACTCGGCTGGACAGCTGGGCCTCGGAGACACTACAGGTCTGAATATTTCATCATGTAACTAAATCAGTCATATAAAAGCACATATAAATGCACTATATTTGTGCAATTCTGGGTCAAACTGATATTAAAGAATGATGAATTTACTGTTTTTCCACCACAGACAGACACGTCCCAACGGTTGTAAATAGTCTGAACCGAAAGAAAACTGTGTCCATCTCATGTGGAGGGGAACACACTGCGACTCTATCAAAGGTAGTATTTTGTAATATGTATATAACTATATATATTATAAAACCATATTTAGCATACAACACACTGGACAGAAAATGTAATTAATAGTTTATGTTTCAGGGCGGCACAGTGTTCACATTTGGATCAGGAGGTTTTGGCCAGCTTGGGCACAACTCATTTAAAGACGAACATCATCCGCGGGTCGTTGCTGAACTGTGGGGATCTAAAGTGTCCCAGGTCACATGCGGGAGGTAAACTAGACTTTTCAGAAGCAATCAGTGTTTCAATGCAGTAATGCAGATTTATTTGTATTTCCTCACATGGTTAACATGTCTAATGTTTGAGATCAGCTCAATGATTAGGCATTTGATTCTTTCTTGAATAAAGACGTCACACACTCGTATCAGTCGAATCGTCAAAGCTGATCTATTCATTTGGATGTGGGATGCAAGGGAAGCTGGGAAATGGAGAAATGATCAAGCAGTCTGTGCCTTTCCCTGTGGATCTCTCAACTAGTAATTAAATCATATTTTAGCAATAGGCTATTTCCTTAGGAATATTTTTCTTCTCGTGATGTTGCTAAACTAAGCTAACTAAACTAAATTTTTATTGCACACAGAATGTGGTCATGCATATATGATTGAAAAACTGATTGCTGGGGAGAATCATTCCTTTGCCGTGTTTTTCAAGGTACAGTACACACATTTGTTAACAATTAAATTATTGCTCCACTGTGGTTACTTAGTTTTTTTATGTATATTGTAGAAACTTGGGAATGAGTCTAAACCAAATCCAAGGAGAGGGATTTTGACATTAGATAACAGAATGATTGACCGATGGGTGTCTGGAAGTGATTCATGGAAAGTGATAAAGAAGTGAGTGTTTAAGTCGTTTTAACAACAGTGCTTCCATTGAGATACTAATGCTTAAGGCTCCTGATCTACAGTAGGTCCATGAAATAGTCTTTCTTAACATTATTAAATCAAGAAATATGTGCCAACGAGGTGATGAATTTTAGGCAGGAATTAAAATCAATAGACTATAAAAATATTATTTAAAGTATAGTTGTGTTGTTTACAGGGACATAAACAAAGTGTTCTCCTCGGCTGCCTCTCTGAATGGAAGTTTCCTCAAAACAAGGTAAATATCCTAATCTGAATTAGGCTGTTTTATGTAGTAGTTCCTCCCTTTTGTGCCTAAAATGACTTAATGTAAGTGTCTGTCTTTGTAGTTGTGATGAACATTATCAGATGTCTGAGGAGCATTGTGGGTTGGATTTTGATCTGGTTAAAGCATCCTTTGCAAAGTTATCAAACAATGAAAGGTTGATTTCAGAGGTAATGGTAAATCCAGCATTTACAAAAATGTTCATTACATTTTAAACGGTGAGATGCAGTTGATAATTTTCCGTACCTCAGGTAGTGAAGGTAGTTCAACAGACACTCCTGCCGTCTCTGAATCCAAATCCAGCTGGTGTGGAAGCTCTGAGACTCTACCTTCTCCTCCCTGAGCTCATCAGAGGACTCCAGGAACAACAAAGAACTGAACTCACTAAAGCATTGGCCTCCAAAATCCTTGATCTGAATCCTGCTGTTCTCAAGGAGTTAGGTAAAGCTGGAGGACATTTACATTCTTTCTGTTGTTCTTGTTCTGTTTGTAATTTTGTAATTTTATGTTACATGCATGTTGTATTCTCAGAGATGTACTGGTCCAAACTCCCTGATGATTTGCTCAAAAACTTGGTGGGCTTATTTCAAAAAGAGTCTGCTATGTTAATTGGCAGGATTGCTGTTGTCAAGTTGGACTCTGACAAAGAGAAACACCTACTGAAATTTGTGCAGATCCTTCAGATGGTCTATCAGGTGCTTTTATTAAACATTAGATCAAAAGTAAACATTTAACCATGTTATTGTGATAGTAGTTTCAATAACAGTGTTTCTGTTGGAAAGGTCTGCCGCAGTGCACACAGAGACATCACAAAGAGTGATTTCATCATTCATGAGGTCAATGGTCTCCTAGATGTGGTGAGAACCAAAACATTTTGAAAATCTACTGGTCAACCTATATGGGCTTTCAATGGCCGATGATGTTACTGTATCATCTACTGCAGGGGTGTCCAATCCTACTCCTGGGATGTCCTGCAGAGTTTAGCTCCAACTTGTCCCAACATTCCTGTCTAGAAGGTTCTAGTCATCCTGAAGACCTTGAACACCTTGTTTCAGTTGTGTTTAATTGGGATTGGAGCTAAACTCTGAAGGACAGTGGCCCTGCAAGAGCAGGATTGAACACCCCTGATTTTTGGTATATCTTTTTAATATATAGCTAAAATTAAATATGGCAGCAATCACTGTATTTATCATACAAAAATGACCGAAATCACTCAATTTATATTTAAAAAAAAAAACTATCAATTGACAGGACTGTTGTTAGATTTTAGAAGTGACACAAGAGGGCACTAATACTCCTGATACCCATGGTTGTCTGCTGATAATTTCTGTATTGGTTATGATATATTGATTTTTTTGTAGTTAATTCCCACTATAGAAAAAAAAAACTGATCATTTTGTTTTCCCAAAATCAACAGCTGCAAACCATCAATGAAGATGCGAATAACATGCCGTTATTTTACTTGCCTGAACAAATCCAGGCATTGGTGGCACAGAAAAACTACTATAATGTGAGCTCCACAGTCTTTTGGTCATATCTGATATGCATGCACATTTCAGATCAAGTAAGCATGATGTTACTATTTCTTTTATTACAGAAAATCTTAAAAAATCTTATATCACTTCCATGCATCTTTAACCTGGAGGCCAAATGTAGCTATATGAAGAACAGAGTATGGAAGGTAATTTTGTCTTGACCTAAAAAAATCTCATGTGAATTACTTTTGTGTAAATGTACTTTTTAATCACAGAATGAAATGCTTTAATTGCAGGGTAGTTTTCAGCTGACTCTGAGACGCACAGCTCTGCTGGAGGATTGTTTCTCTCAGCTGACGGCCAATCTGCAATATCTCAGAGGACATTGGCTGGCGGTAAGGAAAACAAAAACTATGTTTTGATTCAGTAACAACAGGTTATTTTTTGCGTGCAGTTTTATTATACAAACTGTTACGAGCTGCAGTATGAATGAATTATTTTGGTTATCTAACAGGTGTTTTACACAGAGGATATGAGAAAAACAGATGTGAACAAGAGAGACTTTTTTCTCAACGTGTTTAAAGAGCTTTGTGCTCCAGAGTCTCAGCTGCTCATGGACAATGACAACAAAACTTTGAGCTGGTTCCCCACAAAGGTAAGGCAAAGACTTTTAATGAGGTCATGCTAAGACGTAAATAGTGGTAACAAAGTTTAGTTAAGTCAGGTTACATATCTAAAGCCGGGTGCACACTGTACGATTTATAATAGTCCTTTACGACTGTTGCTGGTCGGACTGTACGAACATGGTCCCCGCTGTTTCACACTGTGGGATCTCAGTTGTCATTAATGTCAGACTGTACAGCAGTCAAGAAAGACGCGTTAAAAATAGACACAGAAGAAGACTTGTAGGAGCCATTTTAATGCAATTTATATATTTGTCCATTGGGTGACCAAGGTCTCAAGACTTTTTTTTTTTAAAGTTGAATTTCTTTTAACTTGAGCACAGTGTTTTAAAATGCTGTCATGTGCTAAACTCTACAAAAGACATGAGCGTAAGGGTCAAACATGTCCATCTTGTTTACATAGAAAACAATGGAAAGTAGCGCTAAGATACCTAATGTCTCTTTTGTGTTTTCCCATTTATTTACATTTTTTATTATTGTTCTCTTTGGCTTTAACCTCTTATTGTCCCACACCAGCTCCGCGTGGAGAAGGAGAAGTACTTCCTGTTTGGGATTCTGTGTGGCTTGGCCTTCAACAACAACTCTGTAGTGAATCTGCCTTTTCCTTTAGCTTTGTTCAAGAAGCTTCTCGATGTCAAACCATGTCTTGAAGACTTGATAGAGTTCAGTCCGGATCTTGGCAGGTGAGTGTTTTTACAATCAATGTTATCTTGATTCTCTATTGTTGTATAATGACTGCTAAAATGTACTTCCATGTTCTATGTATGTGCTGCTATCTATCATTAGCCTCGTTTCCATTACCCTTCAAATTGCGCAAATTGAAATGGAAACACGTCAATTTCGCAAAAACTCCCATTTATCGCAAAAAAGTTTTTACGCTCGCATGAGGTGGTTTTTCAGGCAATTCGAAAAAGAAATATTTCGCAAAACTGCAATGGAAAGTTTTTGCGCATTTACAGGTCACCTGACATAGATGACGCGGTATGTTTGGACAGAATACGAGACAGAGTTCTTTATTAAATTCATAAAAGACAAAACAATTACAGGAATACTGGATTCTAAACCTCAAAGAAATGCCACAATCAAGACCTCGAAGCAGATATGCCGGAGAAACACCCTATAAGAGCCACTCTCAAGTATAAGGGTCTTTCCTTGCCATTAATGATTGGATAACACGCATACGTCTCCTTCGATTAATGATAATGGCCAGTGCAGTGGTTGGGATATACATAAACCTACCAATGTCCGTTGCCATGAGTTTTGGAGTGACTTATCGCGAGAGGAAAAAATTAAGTTTTAGATTTGCGTCATATCCATTACAGATTTGCGCAAAACTTTTGCGATTTTTTTCGAAATGTCGACAAAAAACGATTGCGAAATTACGCCGAATAACATCGGTTAATGGAAACGGCGTAATTTCGCAATCGTTTTTTGTCGACATTTCGAAAAAAATCGCAAAAGTTTTGCGCAAATCTGTAATGGATATGTGCCTATTGAGTGACATTGTTTAATGAATCTGAAACATGATATTCTCAGGAGTTTGTGGCACATCCTGGACTACAGCGATGACGTGAAGGAAATGGGCCCATTATCGGTTAGTTTGTTTGATTATTGTGTTATCATGTGCTGTAATGTAGCTTTTAAAGACATCAGGTCTCATTCACTAATAATTGTGTGGATTATTAACATTTATACAGTACCCACAGGAGAACTTCTCATGAAAAATGTTCACTTAATTCACACCACATGTGAGTTTATGCATATTTTGCATAAAAATCTCCATATAAGGACTTTCTGCACTCTAAAGGCTAATGATTTCTTAAGATGTGCTCTCGCTCTGCAGTAAGAAACCAGTTCAAAAAATCAGAAACCTCAAAAACCAGTTCAAACACAAGAAACACCTTTTATACACACCCAGATTACAGATCTCTCATTAAACAGCTGTAGCCTACATAAACGTATCTGCATTTTTATGCAGAGGAACCTCGCAGTTCGAGCTATAACTTGCCAATTTTTTTCTCTTTTATGATGCAATATATTTAGGATGAATTATCTATGAAATTTCATTTATGAAATGTTTATAATAACAATTTTTTTGTGTACGCATGGTTACATTTATTTTCTACATTTTCTAATACATTTTTAATATACTTTGAAAAGGAAAATGTTCGTATGCAAATTTTGCACAAAAAATGGTCTGCACACAAGGTTAGTAAATTAGATCCATTATTACTTAAAAAAACACGTTTTTAAAAAAAAAATCTTTCTACATAAGATCACATGGGATGGGACAGAAGTCGAACTGGATCCAGCTGAGCCAGGAAAAGTTGTCACAAATTATAACAGGTCAGGGTTATAGTTTTCTAAAGAAATCTAATTTTGCTGAGATACCCTGTCACTAGAACATCATATTATTTTTGCTTAACCTTAATCTTGAACATAATATTCAATAATTGGTAAGATGCATATTTTAACAAATATAATTTTTGCAACAGAAAAGAATTTGTGGACAAGTATGTGGATTATATCCTGAATAAATCAGTAGAGGAAGTGTTTGGAGAATTCAAGAGAGGCTTCTTCAGTGCGTGTGACCGATGCTTGGTGGAGATGTTTGAGCCAGAGGAGCTGAGAGGAGTTCTGGTGGGCAATGAGGAATATGACTGGGACATCCTCAAAAAGGTCCACCATAACACAAATGTCAAACAAAAGTCAAAACTACTATGCTCTTGACCTTGTGAGCTAGTAAATACTGACTAAATATATCTTTTGATCATTAGAACACTACATATGAAGGATCATTTCATGCTAAGCATCCAACCATCATCTCATTCTGGGAGGTGTTTGATGAACTGACACCAAATGAGAAGAAGGGCTTTCTATGTAAGTTCACTAGTGATTATCCTGAATGGTGCTGTGATTGTGTCTAGAAATTAGTGAAAATGACATTTGCCGAAATGAGTTTAAGAAATCAAACTTTATTTTTTTGCATCTACTCTGGCTGCTCCTATGCTTTTCAGGCTGTGACTTTGTCTTGTTTGCCAGAACACATTCAGAGTGCTTTCAAATAAATCTCTCCTGTTTTCCTCTCTGAAGTGTTCATAACAGGGTTTGAGAAAGTGCCCATTCTGGGTATGAGTGCGGTGAAGATGAGAGTGGGAACTCTGTTCAAGTTTACTCAGGATCATCTACCAGAAGCCCTCACCTGCCATGCTCTGTTGTATCTTCCTGTTTATCAGAACAAGGAAACACTCAGGACTAAAGTCATTGAGGCCATCAACCACAAGAGGGGGTTCTGGAAAGAGTGAGACTGGAGTTCTGAGATCATCCGTGGACACAAGTCACAGATCTAATAACTTGACACTTGATCCTTGATTAAGGCTTTTACCATGTCTTGAACACTGGTGGACCAAACCATTGTTAGGGGGGTATTTAATTAAAGTATTTAATGGGATATAAGGGAATAAAGAAAAATAAGAAGAATTCTAAAAGATTGTAATCAACTTGAAATATTTGCAAATAATATTTTTATTTTAAATTATGCGCACATGCACTCTTAATTGTATGCCTAATATGTGGAAAATAGGTGTGTTAATGTTTCTTGTCTTGTCACATTCAGTTATGAATTACATGAATCACATAAATTATGTAAATGGGGGAGACGTGAGATGGTAGAATCGCTGGGTTTGTAACAGCCCATGTTCAACAATCAGTTCCTGCTGTTATGTGGGGGTTTTTTATATAACAAAGTTTACATTTATATCCGCAAACAGATAAAGATTTCTGTTGGCAAAACATTTCTGTTTACAATACTTTGACACCAGATTGGATTATTTTCCAAATGCTATGTAACGTGTTGTATTTATGAACTTAATTAAAATAAACATGTCTTAATAATAAAATGTTTGTTTGTTTGTTTATGTATTTTTACATTTTTACAAACCAAGATTATAGCAATGAAATGTTAAAAAAATTCCAACACAGATTATTTTCTTGCCTGGTCTGGCTTAAATAATAATAAAAAGGACTAAGCTAAATGTTGGACTCTATAATTTTTTTTTTTATAATCAACTAATTCTTTAAATATAAAATCTTTATAAAGAACATCTAAGACATAACTCTGTTGGAGGGTGACTTTTTGGCAAGTTATCTAAACTTGGCTAGCTATTTGGCTGTAACAGAGATGGTAACTTGTTTGTTGCAGACTAGCTGGCTGTTGGAGAGGTGGTTAGCCCCATGCTGGTCGCTGACTAGCTGGCTGGTAGAAAGGGAATTGGTCACTTGCTGGTGGCTGACTAGCTGGCTGGTAGAAAGGGAATTGGTTACTTGCTGGTGGCTGACTAGCTGGCTGGTAGAAAGGGGATTGGTCACTTGCTGGTGGCTGACTAGCTGGCTGGTAGAAAGGGAATTGGTTACTTGCTGGTGGCTGACTAGCTGGCTGTTAAAGGGGTGATAGGTCACATGCTGGATATTTACTTGCTGGCTGGTAGAGAGAGGGTTTTTGAATCAAAGTAGAAGAAATCAAA